ATATATATATATATATATATATAATGAATTAAGCATATATATTTATGCTTAAACCAGATAAACATGCCAAACAAAATGATAAATAATTGATCACCAGAAAATGGCTACTGATCCTCTCAAAGATTCAGAAGGAGCATTCATAATTACTTGCAATCATGTGTCCAATGCATCATGGTGCTATAAAGTCAAGACAAAACAAATTAGTCTACATGCAATTAATTGTGAAATGAACTAAGTAAAATGGGAGTTTTAGGAAGAACTTGCATGGTGAAGATGCACACGAAGCAAAGAAAGGGAACTGAAAGAAGAATCTTTTTCTGCAGGATGATTAATCTTTAATTATTGAAGATTAATAATCATATTATGTAATATCAATTTTTGAGCACACAATAATTGTAATGTCATTTTCAGGGCTGTACATCAGAATTCACATGATGGAGCTCATCTCATCTTCCCCTCTATTTGTGATCATGACTGCTGCCTCAACTTACCTGCTTGCTTTTGCTTACAAGAACTCTAAGTTTGTCCTGAAGCACAAGGTGGCACAGAAGGTGGAGGAGTCCGTCACCAAGGCCGTCCTCAAACAGCTTGGTGATAAGAAGAAGACTGTCAAGAGTGAGAAAGATGAGCGGTATGTATCTTCCATTATGGATAGTATTTAATTTAGAATTATTATTGTAGATATAATCTATTGCAGTCATGCATTTTTGCTTGACTGCATGGATGATGCAATTGATTTCTTATTGATTTTATTTTATATTCCTTTAATGTTGTTAAATGGATTATTACTGTAGATTTAAACTATTGTAATCAAACATTTATGCTTGATTGCATGGATTATGTGATAGTTTTTGTTGTTAATTCTATTTTTCATTCTCTTAATTTTGTTCAAAGGATTCTTCACTCAAATTGATTGAATAGAAAAATGACTTTGAAGAGTAAAGAATAAAGTTGTTTTTACAGCCACATCTGATCACCATTTCTTGCCAGTCCTTACAAGATAGTTAAGTGTTAATATGTCTGCTTGATGTGTAATGTACCTATATTATTCTCCACGCAGTGTGTTGTGGAAGAAGAACGAAGTTGCTGACTCTGAAGCCACAACGTTCGCCCTATTCTACAACAACGCCATGTTCCTGATGCTGGTGGTGCTGGGCTCATTCCTTGTATTCCGCACACTCTCGCCTTCCTACAATTATTTCTTCAGCATCATTGGGGCTGCTGGCGTCACAGCTCTCTTCTCCACTAGCACCAGCAAATGATTCATTTGTTTAGCCAGCATTGAACCTTGTACACTTAGCAACTGGGAACTTTGTAAGTTAGGCAAGCTTTAAACCATATGAATCTTTTGGTTAGCTGGTGCTTCTTAAGTGAAGTGAATTAATTTACTCTTATGCGTGGCTCAAACTGTTACTTTTTCATGAAAATAAATTTTTTTAGAAGGTCTATCTACGCAAAAAGAGCTATCGGCAAATGTAACTGAATTTTGCTAAATCAATACCGAAAAAAATTATTCATCTTTGGTTGTTGAATATTAGTTTGTCAACCTTATCTATGGTGTGAAAGGAAGTTGAAGTCATTCAAAATACATCATCAATAGGGGGCAAAATTTGGTCAGGCTTTTTAGTGCTCCGAGAATCACTAGGTAATGATGCGCGATTGCTGCTTCATAAGTGACACGTTATTTATTATATTATTTTCTCTTCACTGTTATTTATTTGCCTAATGGGTTAAAATCAAACCTACATGAGAAGTTATTATGCCTACACGTTTCCGCTCATTTGTTCCGTTAAAGGTTGTTTCATATTATTGAAGTGCTGACGTGTCGTTTTTGCATACAGATTTTCAAATAAATAAAAAATATGTATTATGAGTCTTGTTTCTGTCACGATTTATTTGTTTATTCTCTTCAAATAATTCCTCAAATTATGAATACCATTTATCAATAATTAGGTTTTATTGCCTTGATAAGTTGATATTGTGGACCCTGAAGGGCCCCTGCTAGTGGACCCTAAAGGGTCACCTGCCGCTAGTGATACGTGAGGGCGTTACAGGTGGTATGCGAGGGCGTTACAGGTGGTACGCGAAGGCGTTACAGGTGGTACGTGAGGGTGTTACTATTGGTACACGAGGGCATTACTGGTGGTACCCGAGGGCGTTACAGGTGGTATGCGAGGGCGTTACAGGTGGTACGCGAGGGCGTTACTGGTGGTACACAAGGGCATTACTGGTGGTACCCGAGGGCGTTACAGGTGGTAACGAGGGCGTTACAGGTGGGACGCGAGGGCGTTACAGGTGGGACGCGAGGGCGTTACAGGTGGTACGTGAGGGCGTTACAGGTGGTACGCGAGGGCGTTACTGGTGGTACGCGAGGTGGTACCACCTTCTGGCAACGATCAGCAACAGTTGCCACACGCCGCCACATGGTCTAGCCGCCAACTTATTAATTAAACTAAACATTCACCTTATTTGCCAGTTATCAGTGCATCAGGTACAATGTAACTCAACCAATACTACTTATTGTCAAATAGTATGTATGATTAGTTGGTGGTACTTAGCGACTGTACAGATCTTGACACTCAGTAAGACTTATAGGGAGTAGAAAGAAATATTCATAAAATTAGGCAGGGTGGCCCAGTGGTTAAAGTTCAGAGTACCAGGATTGGAGCAGAGAGGCGCGGGTTCGATTCCCCCAGTTTCTGATCAGAATCGGCGAGGAGACTTGGCGGTTAAGCACAGCAGAATTGTAGCAGTGAGTTGCGAGTTCGAGACCGCAAAATACTGTGATTGTTCTGCGATGTTAAGAATTGACGACAGGCCTACGGCCTAATTAACGTTGAAACCGCTATTAATATTATGACTAAATAACCTGCTGGGAGTAGAGGTTCTGCTAGCATTGTGTTATGTGATCTTGACTGTCATTGTGCAGTGGCGCAACGTTCAGCTTCCCTTTGTAATTGTAGGTTCTCACATTAGCGGTAATAGAAATACTGTGCGCATATTTGATGGCCACAGAAGCGACTGCACTCATCCAGTGCAAAGCGAAATGTGCCTGTGATCTGCGATGAGACGAAGCTCCGGCTAAATCCACGCAAATGATCAAAACGTGAGAATTGATGCTGCTCAGAAGGAAGTCTTCTCTTGGGATGCGGTTGCTCCCCCAATTGAAGAGAAAACGTATAATTGCCGTCTCAAGATGTGACAAATGACCTTGAGACCATAATTACACCTCAAGGAAGTCATCTTTATTCCTAAAATTTATCACATAAATTACTTTTAAAATGCTCATAGTATAGTAGTATAGTATCTTCGGCATTAAATAAATAGGCCTGGATAGGCCTGTCGCCGATTCTTGTACTTTTCTTGACTAGACTGGCCTTACGGACGGTAGATTTAAAATCGCTTCTAGATATCAGTTGTTCCGTAGGGTGATCGCTTATTTATTGATAAAATGCTTGTTCGTGCCTATGTTTCTAAGTATAGTATATAATATATTTATCTTGAATACAAATGTTGCTGAAACAGTTTTTCATTACATTCAAATTGCTATACGTTACTAACGATGGAACCAAATAATTGGTTTCCAGCCGTTATTATTTCTATCGCTTCAGAACGTTTGTGTTAGATTTTTGGACAATTTTCGGTCGCTGCTTTATTATAGGGAGTATGATGAACTTATTACGTAACTTGCGCCGGACCGCAGACGGTCCGGTCCACCGTCTGCGGAAACCGCTTGCCGGGTGCGGGTGCGGGGCTGGGCTCAGGGGCTCAGGCGCTGGGCCGCTCAGCGGCCCAGCGGCTGAGCCCAGCTTCGAGCCTCCCAGGGAGTAGGGACCCGGCCAGGGCGCAGAGCCCAACCTGGCGCCTTTCAACTTAGAATAGAAATGTCTGCACCGAAGGAATAGGCCCATGGCCTATTGCCCAACCGCCAACCCAACCGGGTTTCATTAAAAACCCAGGGTAGGCCTATTGTTTAAAAAAACCTGGGCAAAAATCAAAATGGTAATATGGGTTTTATTACTAGCTATTTTCACTTCAACATTCATATCTCGACAGTTTTTAAAATATATTGTTGATTATTACAAATCTGATAGCTACTAGGCCCTATAGAATAGATAGAGTATTAGGGAATAGGGAATTAGGCTATTTTCTCTTATTACGTTTGCCATAACTATTAATCCAATAACTGTACATTAATACATTTTTTAAACAGGGAATTATTGTATGATCATTGATGCATCATTAACTTGATGTATCACTAAAATTCACTATTAATAAAACACTGACAGTGACACATCTCTATCAGAAACTACAGAATGAACTATGCACTCTTAAATAACAAACAAACTTGTTTAATGTCAGCTTTGCCACTATGGACTCTATCATGACTCAAACTATGCAATTGTCACCAAAATGTTTTGGGTGCAGTCCTCTGGTAACAGGATTGGAATTTTTCTATTTGTTTCTGAAATCTCGCGGCTTCAACATGACGAATTTTCAATACATTTGGAATCTCGTGGCTCGATATCGCACTTTTGTTAACATTTGGATAGGAGGTAATTCATCTGACGGAAATCTCGCGGTTTCAGAAATGGCGGGAAACCTCTAGTTGCGGCCCTAAAGGCAGATGTTTTCAATGCTTGTCTGGTAAGATATTTTGGTTGAACACAGGATATGTTAGCAGTTTGTTGATTGCTGGAGCCTGGACCTAGTATGGAATATATCTACTTGGCGAGCCGCGACTGAATTTTTAAAAAGTCTCAAACCATAATATTCTTCCTATACAAACAGTTATTCACTATTTGGTAGAGCAAGGTCAACTGTCAAATTTGACACATTTTTCGATGATCTCTCTGGGTAGCGTGCAATGTCTCTCTTTGGATCTCAATATTTTCCCGCTAGATGGCCAAGACGGCAAGACCTAGTGTTTTGGCAGTAGTTTGACGCGCAAGTGTATGACGTCACCATTTCAACCATCAACAAACGCATGGAACTAAAACAAAGCTTAATATAAAGGAAAAACTAGAGAGGTGACGGAATTACTCACAATGTTGGAATATACCGCGTTTACCCTATATCACTTTTGCAACCATGAGATTTTCATACCTACCAAAATGATATAATATTATAGCCAAGATGTTTCAGAAAAAAATATAATTTTTCCAATTTTGCCTGGGTGAAATGGTCCACAATTACATTTAGCCTACAGCTACAGGCATTATTGTCTCCTTCATTGGTAGCTTCTGTCCAATTTTATAGTTTGGCATGCTAGTGATGACTTATGAGCGCAGGATAAGAAATTCTAACTCCTGCAATCTCACGGACCAAAAAAGTTATGAGGTAGCCATAATTTTTTGTGGTAATATGATACAGGTTATATTTTGTGCCTGAAAATTAATCCTTGCAAAGTTGCAATACACCTGAATCTTCCTCTTAAGCCTAATTTATGAGTGGCATAAGTTGATTAATAATACTATATTGCATTTCCTTCTTTAGGATATATATATATATATATATCTCTTGTGCCATGCAGAGTTCAATTAATCAACAGAATAGTTCAACATCTAATTAATTTGCCACAAGGTTCTAGCATTTGACTGAAATGCTTCAAACAACCCTCCTAAAAGGCTTGAGAAGGCTATGTTTACCAAGACTCCAACCATGCTGCCACATGTCTTATGTTGTCCTGTGAGTACCGTCAACATTGCAGCTTGCTGCTACGTGAGGTTGCAATAAAGTAGTCAACAGTCTTCTGTATATACATGTTGAAAAATGCATTCTATTCTATATATACATGTTGAAAAATTCTTCAACTATTTTCAACCCCAATAATATATTCTAGGGTGATATTAGCTTGTATTGACCTTGTAGTATGGCAGGATTGCTCCAAAATAAAAGAATATCAGGAATGGCTCATGTGTGTCTGTGATTATTGGTTCAGATGTACATTTCATGTTATGTTCCTGCTTATTCTGATATTTAAGATTGGCTAAATTAATTTCATGCCGTTAACTCTTACAATAACAATAACTCAAGAATGCTGCATGCATAATAGTCTTGCTTGCATTCTTTTCTAGTTAATTCAAATGTATTTCCCTCATAAACTGAGAATCGCCATGATTAGTAAACTTGATTGATGTAGAGTTAATTTCTTGCTGGTCATGCATATTCATATCTTTGAATGCAAATTGCCTTGGTAAGTTTTAATGCCTTCAGTGGCATTTAATTTACTTAAAAATGATTTATTGATGCATATTTTATAATCAAGAAGATAAAGTGAGATGTTCCAAGGTCTTCAGGGATGTAGATTTGTGGGGTTAAGGCTAGCAAGGTCCCTGTATGAATAAGAAATGTGAAGTTCATCTTATCAACCTTCAACTCATTGTATGTGATTTGAATATTTGAAATAAGGGTTCACCAGTTTGTTGTTCTTTGTATCATTTGTGATAGCCACTTGACATTGGCTCTGCATCATGCAAAATTAAACAACATTGCACATCACTATTCCAATAAAAAAAAAAGATTATGTTGCACCATTACCCTCAGATGTGATGGCATTGCTTGGTGTAGTGTATGCAAGATGATGAGGCTTTATTTGAAACAGACATTGTTTGTCCACCATAAGTCATATATTGATTTTAATAAATCAAATTTTTAGGTAGTTTATGGTCAAATTGTTATGCACCTTCTGTATTGTATGTATGGTATGGTTATGCATATATTGTACAAATACTTATGTATTCCCTTTTTAAATCTGTCTTACTTGGACTTTCAATGGCTTGTGCTTGCCCAAGCTATGCACCATATAATTCAGCTTTTAATGGACTTGAAATTAACCCATGCTAAATATTTTACTTTTATTTGTTGCAATAAATTATACATTTTCTAAAAACCAACTTATATCATTGTTCATTTTATCTCAGATGCCAGGGCTTGACAGCATAGAACATCATAGCTGTCCTAATATATAATAATCTTCCAGGAAATGTTTATTTTTGCTACACTTGCAGCTTGCCGGAAGATCCTGTGGACACGGCAGAAAACAATGCCCTGCTCCGCACTGCTCATGGAGATCTTCCCAACTTTGAGGAGATCACTGGAGAAAAATGCCATGCAGGGGTGGGCAAACTGGCCCTGGACCTGGAGACTGGAGTCTGGGAGATTGAAGAAAAAATTAGAGGCAAGTCCAATTTTACCCAAGTATTTATTTTGAATGAGTTTAGACAATCATTGAGGTTGTTTATGCAGCCAATTGTTATATAGTGATATAGTCTGTGTTTTATTAAATGTCCTAACAGTAGAGAATTAAATTATTTTTGATGTATTTGGATTGTTGAATTTTCTCTTCTTGATCACAGATGCTCTCTATCATTTGAGCTCACCTCCACTCCACAGAGCTAAATCCCACTCCTGCAAGCTAATGCCCTTCCTACACACTCTAGTCCCACACATTTAGCTCATGGCCTTCCTACACCCTCAAATCCCACTCATTTCAGCCCATGTTCTTCCTACCACACTCTAGTCCCACAAATTTAGCTCATGCCCATTTCACTCACTCGCTAATATTTCAAGATTTTACCTCATCCCAGATTGCATGCAATAATCAATCCAGTCAATAATCCCTGCAGACAAGCCAAAGTCAGTGAGCTTCGACACGGTGCTGAAGCCTCTGGATGCCTTGGACGCGCAGCTTAACTTTGGCTGGAGTACTGCTAAAGTTTTGTACATCGCACGCCAGGATAAGCTGCCTCAGAAGACATATCTCGGGTGTGTTCTTGTCTTGTGATTATATCATAGTTTATTTGTCAATTTACAGTGACTCACTCTTATAGAATTGTATTGTTTGAGTAAAACATCAAGTGGCATGTAGTTATGACCATAATTAAAATAATTTGAGATGAGCTCATAGTTTGACGCAAGGGGCCATTTTCTATATTTATTAATTAGTAATATGGACGGTGTGTTGTCCTAATAGAAAATTCACTGAAATAGTCAGCATTTATTTCCAAGTTACTCCGTTGTAACTTTCAAAACTACTCAATACACATTACTCACTATGATGAGATTGTTCTTAATTAAAATTTATCTGCATTTGTCTGACAGCTTGCATGAGCGCGCACGCAAAGCTCGTGTACAGAAATTCCAGAGCTTGCCCATCTACAAGGCCTGTAAGGTACGTGTCTTGTATCTAAACATCTACGAGACCTGCAAGGTTCTGACTGTCGTATATCTAAGCATCTACGAGACCTGCAAGGTTCTGACTGTCTTGTATCTAAACATCTACGAGACCTGCAAGGTTCTGACTGTCTTGTATCTAAACATCTACGAGACCTGCAAGGTTGACTTTCTTCCACAGGTTAACATTGAGTTGAATTCTTTAAAACAGGTTACTTTTTCATGTTCTTGCCTTGAATTGTAAACAATTTAATGTTAAATGTTTGATGTTCTGATTTTCATATTCCTAAAATTAAGCTGTCTGACCTAACGGTACGGAAATGAAAATATAGGCAATATTTTCTTGTGTTATTTTTATCTTATTTGTACAAAGAATCTAGGAAATTTTAACTTATTTTGTTAATAATTCGACAAGTTTTAAAACTCATTACGTTATTAATTTCAGTATGTGCGTCATCCTTTTCGATACTTAATGTAAATGTAATTATGATTTTTAATTATTTATTTATTTTATTTCAAGCACCAGTTAATCGACTGCAAAACTCTTGACAGGAGCTCCATGATGTTGAGGAGAGCTGTTGATTCTTTCCATACAAATGCCTACTCAACTGAGCTCTTATTGAAGACTATAGGTCAATATTGTGTCCTAGTTCTGAGTTACAAGTTTACAGCAGAAACAGAGTTTGAATTAAAACTGTAAGTCATTGCTGCAATTATGCAATATTTTGTTCCAGGTCATAAGTGAGCAAGAAGCACCGAGTTTAGACAGCAACAAGCGGCGCGTGCTGCAGAAGTTTCTGTTGGAGTCTCGTCTTAATGGAATGGACTTGAGTCCAACGAAAGCTGACCAGTTCCTGAGCATCATAAACAAATTGGATCAGAAGAAACAACAATACCGACAAAAAGTTCAGGTGTGGTAGAAATACCAATATGTTGGGGCTGAGTCTTTGGCTTGTGAACGATGGAAGTCGTTCACCGTTGAAGTGAATACCGAAAGTGTACTTGTAAGCCACATAGTCGCCTGAGTAACATTTGGGGCTGACCTTACTGCATTTAGTGACGTCATGACTGTTCAGATATAAGTGGCTGTGAGTCGGTTAGTCGTGTCCCGCCAGCTCTACAGAGAGGTTCTTACCTAAACTCACTCCGCTCTACCAACTCTCAGTGATTCTGTGCCATAACGCTAGAGTCATGGATGTGCTCTGAAAGCTTTATGACGCTGTTTATCGATTATGAATGTCTGTTTCGCTGGTTCTAGTATTTTAAACGTGCCTCTTTTTTAAACTGTTCCTTGCTAATATCCTTGCTTTTATCCGTGCTAACTGAAGTTTTAATTAACGGAATCCAAGTGCAATTGAAAGTTAATCAAAGTCATGTATTTTTTACAAGATAGTTGCCGGCATTCGGCCGTAAGGCTCGAGGCATTCTGACAAGATTGAAGGTTGTGGCGAACGTCCGGTGACAGGCTAAACTAAATTAAACATATTATAGTTATATTTTGGTAAATTGAACACAAATGAATTTTGTTCACTTCCTTTACATTTTCTTCTCTCGTTCGCACACAGATTTATCCTGTTCTATGAATTTCTGCTTAACTCCACATTGGTCTCGGGAATAAAGCTTGAATGTTTACAAACATGGTTGTACAACCATCACACCTTCATGCATCACCTTTGTTTGATGCTATCTATGCATCACCTACACGTTCTGATGCATGCGTTACCTTTGTGATGTGTTCTCTTCTGATGCATGCATCACCGTCATTACATGTGTTGGTGTTGGGCACCGATATTTACTCTAACTATTCATGACTCTCATTACCAATCCTTCAAGCGCGAATAGCATTGACATCATTCATTGTATCTGCTGTCAAATTGTTTTCCACGTTTATACTGTCTGTAACTTTTAAGCAGACATTTAGGTACGAATAGCATTATCTACATTTGTTGTGCCGTGACGAAACATTAATTCTGACTCTATAAAGCGCGTCACTGTGCAGGTCTCGACATCTCGCTTCGCCTATGAAATAACCGACCCCAACATCGTGCAACACTTCCCGCCACACCTCCTGGAGCGCATGTCGCCCAGCGGGTCAGTAATTACTTGTTTAATTCTACTCGCCAGCACCTATGATGTCATCTAGTTAATGGCATTGATATGACAGGAATGCCACTAGAATGCCATTAGAGTGTCACAAGATTGTTATTAGAGTGCCACAAGATTGCCATTAGAGTGCCACAAGATTGCCATTAGAGTGCCACAAGATTGCCATTAGAGTGCCGATTGCCATTAGAGTGCCACAAGATTGCCATTAGAGTGCCACAAGATTGCCATTAGAGTGCCACAAGATTGCCATTAGAGTGCCACAAGATTGCCATTAGAGTGCCGTAAGATTGCCACAAGACCGTCATTAGAGTGCCACTATATTGCCATTAGAGTGTCACAAGATTACAATTAGAGTGCCACGAAGGCTGCCAATAAAGTGCCAATAGTGACGCAAGATTGCCAAGAGTGCCATAATGATGCATATTTAGAGCAAATCATTCAGATCTCTAACTTCGCATGCAACGTGCTCTCCGTGCTTGCTTTAAAAGACATTTATTTTACTTAGTAGTGAGCCTCTTATGTTAACTTTGAAATGTCACAACTATTGAACTAATTTGGTGTCGGTAAAAGAAACATACTTGATATTGCTCAATAGTTCCAATATTTGAATAGTTCCATTATCCTAGCCATGTTTACCCTCAGCAGTGACACAACGCGTGGTCCGTGGCACGTGACGCTGAAGTCTGACGTGTACGAAGGCTTCATGGCGCACTGCAGTAAACGAGCGCTGCGCTGGAACACATGGCAGGCCTACAACATGCGTGCCACGAGGTTTATTGATCCACAGCTCGACAACAGCGTCAACATAGAGGAAATCAGGGCGTCTAGGTTTGTTAAATACAGCATTAAAATGGGATGAATGCATGATCTTGATGATGAGTGTTATAGGATTGCTTTTTGGATATAAATCTGTGAACAGACCGACATATTGAGTAACTAGAAATATCGTTAGTTGGCCAGTTGCCTTCTGCTGCTGACTGTTTCTCAACGCCGCGAGTAACAGATGTCATTGTTCTGTTGCCCTCAACTGCTGACTATCTTGTATGTTGTATTTCCTCTGTTTTAATGGAAGAAAATCACTTAAAAAATTGTTGCATAATTTCATTCTGTGTTTTGCATACGTGTCTGTTTTAGTGATAAACTTATTGTATTATGAACAAATTTCAATTTTGGGGCTGAGAGTTTTGCGAATGAATAAATTATTTTGTTGCATTAATTAATTGCGATTAATTTATTCACCATGCCTTACAGTTTGACACGAATGCGAACCTCCACTTCATTGTAATTTTAAAGAGATATTTTTTTTTCCAGGAACGACCTGGCTCGAATTTTAGGCTACAGTAATTTCGCTACGATGTCTATGGAGACCAAGATGGCTGGCAGCGTCGAGAATGTTTTATCCCTCATAACGAGCCTGATGGCTAAAGGTAAGCTGTGAGTCTCCACCCAGGACGTAGTTCATTCTTTGTGCTGCTTTGCTTTGGCAGTTTAACTGCTGCTTAGAATATCGAGTTCACCCTGCAACACCCGGCAACATTTCTGCCTGAGTATGTGAGCAATTATTCTAGACTCATAGAAAGTGCACTTTCCACAGTGTTGGGTTGTTACTAGATGAAGAAGAATATTATGCCATTGCCATAAACCAGCGCTCATGTTCTATATATTAAATGAGGACAGATGTACATGGTACTCGAGGATTAATGAGGTACAGCGTTACGGTTTATAGAGTATCATTTGACGATTATATGCGGCTTACAGTTTATGGGAATAAAGGCTTATATTACGGAGTTAAAGCACCACTGCTATCGGCTCGTCTATCGTTCTCTCGACTCCAGTTGACTTTATTATCCTTTTAACATGGATAGAAGTAAGAGCTTACACACGACTGTTCTCTCCCTAGACTGTAGTTCCTGGTTAAGTACAATGTTTTATAACTTACGGTTAGCTGACGTCATATTTGGTCACAAGGGCGTGAGTCGCTACCGGGTATGAAGGGAGAGGTTATCAATGAGGAAGACTTCATGGACATATCCCAATCAAGGAAGTCATCTTTCAACAAGGAAGTTAGTAATTATTAACGAGGGAATATCCAGAGTCGAATGACAGTAACGATCGTCACCTGACAAATGCTGCTAAATTCAAACATAAAACTTTTTAACTCCTTGATTACCGTAAAAAAAAATAATAACTCAATTTGCCCCTGAGGTGGAGAACCGCTGCTTTTGATGACTCAAAATTTTAACTGATGCAATCTGTTAATTATTCGGTTTAATCTCGCAAAATAGACGCACACATTTTCTGGGTTTTAGAATGTGTCATTTGTTTTGCACAGTCTTTGTTTTATTTGATCAGTTATTCTGTGTAATCATTGTACCGGACGCCTCACCTAAACAATCATTGTAAATTTTGAAAGAAATAGAATGTCATTAATTTACATTTCTTTCAGCGGTCCCTAAGCAAGCAGAAGAGATAGCATCTTTGACTGCCTTTGCAAAAGAGCGGGACTTCTCAGAGGACGCGTTGCAGGCTTACGACGTGCCGTACTACAGCCGCCTGCAGCGCCAGCACCTCTATGGGTAAGTCATAAGTTGCGTTTGCGTTTTTTGCGTAAAGAGGTCCATCATTGCTCACTGAACGCCAAACCCCTGCGCCTATATGGACCAGGCTGCACGCCTGCAACATGGAAGACATCAAAAGCTTCGGACGTAACTGAAGAGCCTACCTCCGGCGCGAAATGGAAACCTGTCTGAAGGGCAAATAAATCTACTACTACAACTGCTGCTGCTCGCTATTTTGGGAGTGACAGCTTATTTACAACTGTTACTGCTAGGAGTGACAGCTTATTTACAACTGTTACTGCTGGGAGTGACAGCTTATTACCACGTTTTTCTTAGCTCGCTATCGTGTCTGTGATGATCAAATCTTGCAATCGATATTTCACCAATTTTCCCATTAACTAGCGCTCTGAAACTTTTAGGGAAGCTCAGCTCCCGATAACAATACAATAATCAATAATTTGTTGCACGTTTCCAGGCGTATAAACTCTAAAGGAACTCACAAGCAGGGGTTGGAACCTTTAATGCACGTCATCCTCGAGAGGATATTCGTGTTTAGACTGCGTATATCGATGATACGCTTCGTATCATCGTATCATCGATGATACGCTTCGTATCATCGATACGTACATCAAGTCAAGTAAATTGGCTCGCAACAACGTAACTGTTGGAAGTGACAGCTTATTTCCAACGATGGGCTGAAGTGACTGAAAAATTTACCGCCACTGCTACTACTAATAATTAAAAAAATATTTCCTAAAACGAATAATTATTTATTATCGATGAAAACTAAAGATCTGTTTTCAATCTGGGAAATTGACAGAAATTTTTAAAATATAACTCCCAGCATCTCAAGGAAACAATATTGTCAATTTCTTGGAGTTGAAAGCTGCTAGGTATTGCTGGAGTAAGCGATCTTTGTGTGCAACATATCTTCGCTACTCGATTGTTGCTTTTTTCAACAAAAAATATTTTGTCCTTTCAAGTAACCTAGACTATAATTTTTTGGGATGCCTTTCTTAAATTGTTTTTACTCGTGAATTTGTACTCTGAACAAGTTGCTACTCAAATGACAATCAGCGGGAAATGATAATACTGCCCCTACGGCAAACGTAAGGGAGGCAGGGAAGGCTAGAGATGAAGGCCCATTGTAAAGAGATGGAGCTGACGGAGAAGACCAGAAGTCGCGTCAGCTCTAATTATTACTCATTTATTTATTATTACTATACTGTATTTCATTATTAAAACGAGCCATTGCTCACAAGACTACATTCTAGTCGCCCATCATTGTGCAGAGAAGGCGAGAAGTTGCGGCAGTTCTTTCCCCTGGACCACGTGCTGACGGCGCTACTGCAGCTCAGCGCTGAGCTCTTCGCCGTGCAGTTCGAGGAGCTGGCGCCGGGACCTGAACTGAAGGCCTGGCATCCGTCCGTGCGGCTCTTCAATGTCCTTGAAGAAGACGGCGCTCCCATCGCATCTTTCTATTTCGACCCCTACAGACGGTGTGCATCCCATGAACAAAGCGATTTATTGTCGCACTCTTGCTTCTTAATAACAAAGATCCTTTGTACTTCTGATGTGTATATTATTATATCAAATGAAAGAACATCTTTGTGCCTTGTATATGGGCTTTATATACATCAAATGCAATGAGTTTTGGAATGTAGCTTTAGCTATCAATTGGTAGTATATGGATGCCTTTCTACAATTGAGCAAACCTTGGATATTCTGCTATCCATGTGATAAAGTCACTTGAGCAACGGACAAGCGAATTATGTCCTAACCTACAGTCGAAACGCCCATGTCTGAACACTCAACTCATGTCAACAGACAGACTAGTTTTGTCGTTTCTTCTTGGCTTCGTAAATTCATTAATGTCCCACGGCCTCTTCAAAACCAAGTGAGCAGAAAACAATTTGCTATAACCTTTTCAGTTGACTATTTTTATTTTTAAGTTTCGTATTCTAACAATTTTGTAACTCAAAATTTTCAGTAAATTTGGTTACAAACAACGTTATTCTTGTTATGAAAATATAACCATTAGAAGCTGGCATCTTACTTGTTATCAGTAGGGCACGACTCATGAACAAGTCTAGTATAACGTCATGATACGACGCAATGGCTTCAATGAAGCTGGCTCATGAGAAAAATCTTGGTGACAGAAATTTATTTTATGCAAGTTCCTCCTTCAATTTAAGTTAAATCATTTTACTCTCGTAAGGAAGTAGGTATCTATGGACAAGCTTCATATTGTGGTGCTGATGCGTGCGTTTGTTTCACAGCCCCGGCGAGAAGCTCGAGCCGACTTCAGGCAGCGGCTGGTTCGCTTCCCTCCGCAGTCGCTCGACGCTGAGCGACCGCCCCGTCGCGGCGCTCGTCTTCAACTTCCCGCCCCCAGGCAGCGACGCTCAGCACGACAGTGACGAGACGCTGCTAACCGTCAGCGACGTCGTCACTCTCTTCTCCAAGGTAACGTCAGCGACGTCGTCACTCTCTTCTCCAAGGTAACGTCAGCGACGTCGTCACTCTCTTCTCATAACGTCAGCGACGTCGTCACCCTCTTCTCCAAGGTAACGTCAGCGACGTCGTCACCCTCTTCTGAAAGGTAACGTCAGCGACGTCGTCACTCTCTTCTCAAAGTAACGCTAGCGGTGTCCAGTCGTCAGCTGTTAAAAATGTTAAATATTTTGCAAAAGAAAATTTTGAATGTTATCAATTTTCGATATCACAGTAAAAATGCAAATTTAATCCGTAGCATGTTTTTTTTTATTTTGCCTGAAGTGTTGTATGATTGGAATAGCTTGGATTTACTATAAGGTTCCAAGTTTCGTTCTACCAAAGTAGACAGCATTTGGCGCAGGGTAGATGAACGATTAGTGGCCATCACAGTGAGCTGCATACGAGTGAATACAAAAGGAATTTCGAAGTTCCTGTTTTCATCATACCCTTATACAGAAACCAGAATGTTGATTAGTACATCGTCTACTGACAGGATCATGCATTATTACAAGACGAGACAACATACTCGTATGTTTATAGTAATTTTTCCAAAATTTTCAGTTTGGGGAGGCTCTGCAGCACATGCTCACCACGGTGCCGTACGGCGAGGTGTCAGGACTTACAAACATAGAGTGGGATGCCATGGCTCTCACCCAGCACTTCATGGCCAACTGGTACGATTTATAAGAGAATGTCGTCAGCGCCAGACGTGGGGAAGTGGAAGGCATTACACAAATTTTCCAGTCTTTGAATGAAACAAAAGGAAGCTGCAAACGGCGTGCGCATGAAAGCTTTTCTTTGACATTAAGACCGCACTTATATTTCTCATGAACCATCCACTTGACAGTCATTGGTTCACCATAGGGTCGTTGCACAATTGCAGTGAACTTAAATATTAAATAAATTGTGAATTAAGAATTATTGGTTTTGAAGGAATATGTTGTAAGTAATATCAATGTATACGAAATTGAATATTGGGGGTCTGTATGGCATTCGCTTTTTTCGAACTTGTTTAAGTAACACAATTGCCGCGTAAATGACGCCTGGAGAGCAAATCCTTCCATGATGATATCTAGACCACAGTTGTTCCCTCCGGATCCGCTATGCTTTCAAATCGTGTTATGGGACATACCAAAACACGACTATGTCAATAACTCAAACGAAATAATGACTATAACTAACATACACCTGCAGTGTTCATACTCACGGCCTTTTCGCGTGAACTTGTTTGCTGTGGATTGTAGGTACGTGCACTGGGCGCCTGAGCGAATGCAATGAAATTTTAGAATGCAAACTCATTGCATTCAGTTAAGTCAAGTGAAAGTTAGTGTGTTTAAGGTTGTGCCTAATGACGTTAAAGATTCACGTTCCTCGTATTGCATATTTTGGCCAAGATAATAAAAATTCCACGTGTTAAATTGTTGCCGATTTCATTGACAGTAATCATTAACACATCGTTGGCTCAAAATTCAGCTGAGGCAATTTGCCTGTTCTGCGTGCAGGGTGTTTGTTCCCGAAGTTCTGTCGTCGCTGGGCCGACATTACGACACGGGAGCGCCTCTACCGCCTGACGTCATCGCTGACATCATCAGCTCCCACAACCACATGGCAGCTCACAACCTCTCCAAGCATCTCTACCTCGCCAATCTCGATCTTTTGCTCCACACTACGTCAGAATTTACAGTCAATATATATTTGTATTATTATTCAGCTGTCAACTAAATGCCTTTTGAATTTTAACGATTTTTTCCCGCAAATCTTTTCGTGAGTTGCACATATAATTAACCTATGTATAAAGATTATTGATATATTTCCTGTTAATCCTCCTTCAGATCAATCCTGGTCAGAAAAAAAGCTCACAAAGGCATGGAAAAATATAAGATTTATTTTCTAAAACTCTAGGATTTCCGTCCTCTATATTGGCTTTCCGAGAAATTTAGTTTATTGTTTGTTCACAGAAAAGACTTCTGGAAGAGTATAATGACGGGCCTGTGGCCGCAGTTCTTGCCCTATGAGCTGGACAAGAAGGACTACCATCCCTGCAGCTTCACGGCCAGCATGTGCGACGTGTGGGCGGCCGCGTACTATAGCCACACTTGGGCCCGCGTCATGGCTGCCGACTGCACCAAGTCGTTCATCGATGACGAGCGAAGCCACTGGCGCTCTACTGGCCTAAGGTGTTCAACTTAACCTTTTTCTTCGGGTATATTCATCGTCGTCAATGCTATTCGTTTTTATCTTGGGATACCGTCAGTAGCCTGAGTAAATTAGGTTGAACCGTCCGAGACTTGAACTTAAAGTTTTCCTCCGACACGTCTTCGCCCGGTACACTCGCATCATTCTCGGGCACTATTTCTTAAAGCATCCGTCAGAGTTGATTTTTAGGATATAGAAAAATATTCGCCAGCCCGTTTTCTGTAAAATACTCTGATCCAGATGCTTACAAATCAGTTGTATTCAATTAACCGCTATAATGAATTAAACATTCTGGTATAAGTGGTCTCTAATGGTTATATTTAACATGCGGATGAGTATTGTTGGAATTGCACCATTCGTTGAGAAACATTCATGATAACTTATGTCACCACATGCGCATGCGATGGCGCTTACAATGAGCCACGTCTATTTATATGTAACAAGTTTGTGTCATTACAAAATTCATCTAAAAAAGAAAAACAATAATGCCTATTGTCTAGTACAAAATACTTTTTTTTGTTATTCAATCGTGTTCTCTGAACTACAGTTGAAAATTACTATTTTCATGCGATTGTATGATGATCGTAAATTGGAGAATTTTATATAAAGTTCATATACGTCGGGAACGTTGTCAGATGAAACTTGCGAAGAGTGAATCTTATTACACACAAGATATCTAATCTTGCCGAGTTATGTACAATATTCTTCTTGCAGGTTCCGGTCGACATTCCTGTCCCTGGGTGGAGGAGAGGCGCCGGCCGAAGTCTTCAGAAAGTTCAGAGGACGCGACCCTTCACCAGATGCGCTTATTGAACTTTACGGAATAGGCGGCGCGAAATGAAAGCGCTGTCTTGTTAATAGCAGTGCACCAGATGCGCTTATTGAACTTCACGGAATAGGCGGCGCGAAATGAAAGCGCTGGCTTGTTTACATCAATGAATGACAGACTCGTGTCATCACAGAGCAAAATAACGAGTTGGAATAAACGTTGTGCCGTTTACTGATACGTAAGACACGAGACATTTTGTTTCGTAGAAGTAAGTAAGTAAGACACGAGACATAAATTTCGCAGAAGTTAATTACAATATAAGCATTGTGCATGAGAATAAAAATGCAGAGGATTATTTAATTACTTCCTTTGATTTAGGGAGTAAAGGGATGATTTATTTTTCATGAGACTTGCACTAAAGTGTATGTACAGTTGGAATTCTATCACGAATTCGATTCAGCGAGTCGGAGAAGTTGTTGTGATATTTTGTTTATATCGTTTACGATAATTTGAAACTTGTGAACATCATGTAAAATATAAAAAGATCAAAAAATGGCGACTCTGTTTTCTACCCAAAAGCGAAAATAATAGACTGACAAGTATTTTTACACTATTAATTTGATGATCATTAGAGCGTAGTTAGCATACAAAATTACTAGATCGTTTTAAATCCATTCATGCCTCCAACCATGAAACGATCTACACAGGAACGGTAGTCGACGTGAACATCAGAAAGCTGCAGTACATAATAATCCGACACTTCCTTCTACTGGCATTGCTCTGATGGAACAGTGGGCGACTGCTTCAATTTAACAATTGTGATTTCAGGGTGAGGGAACATGGATACTGTGACATGTCAAATTGTATAACAAGAAGTATTGAGAACTATTTAACTGTAGTATTTCAGTATTCCTTGATAACTCCAACTTGTGCTGATCTAATGCATCTGTCATGTAGCTTCCAGCCCGGTCTTAAAACATGCGCGACTGAGCCGGCCTTGTGACTGCCGTCGCTGGCCACCTCGAACATCGCCTCTTGCCAGGAGGGGTCGAACGGCTGCCCGGGCTCCAGCGGTACGCGGACCAGACCATGCCTCTTGAACACCTGCAATGCGGCATTCTTTACAAAATTCATTTCCAAGAGAAGTGAATTAATATGATAAGGTCTTCTAACGTACGTACATTTGTGAACTATGTGCATTTATCTCGTATGTAGCACGACCACAATAGCAAGTTGGGAATACTTAATCTTCCCACAAAAAAAAACGTGCGTCCATTTATAAGGTCTTCTATCGTTCGTACATTTGTGAACTATGTGCCTTTATCACGTATGTAGCACGACCACAATAGCAAGTTGGGAATACTTGATCTTCCCACTAAAGAAACGAACGTCCATTTTAACTGAAAATTCTATTTGGTTGTGATCATTTAAAAAAGATCAGTCATAAAAATGAGAGTAAACAAATGAGAATTACTTGCCTAGCCCATGATTAGAAATAAAACTAAGACCACGGCGCTCCTACGAACGTCCTCACCGTCAACATTTGTGTCTCCGTCATGCTGAGGCCGTCGTAGAGAGTCTTCAGGTGCCCGTTGGTGCTGGACTTTAGCTCCTCTTCAGGAACGCTCTCCAAGGCTTTCCGGAACACGTCTGATACCTGCAAGAATATCGCTCAAATAAATTAATAAAATTATAGAGTAAAACATTGCCTATGACAATAGGTCGCACAGCAATGGTTTGCTGATAAATTTCCGAATAGTTAAGTTGTCTTTCATTATTTTTTCTTACAATGAAAATTTTTAAATATAATATAATAGGAAAATGCAAAAATAATAAAAAAGAATTCTTAAAAAGTAAATGAGGTCACTTACTTCTAAAAGGTCTTTGCAGAAGCCCTGGATGCCATACAATTTAGCATCAGACACTTGTTTCTCTAGTCGCGTCCTCACATTCTCTCTCTCTGCCAGGGCCCGTTGGTACTTGTCCTGTGTACGAAGTGTAAAAATTAACTCCCTCCTCTCACACTGAAGCTAAAAACTCAAAGATTTTGGAAATGTACCGTGCAATACAAACCCTAAGGGCAGAATCTTCATGAAATAAGTGAAAAATATGAATGCCTTTCTCTTAGTCAATTACCAGCGCTGCTAAATCGACGTCCTAATAAGAATCACAAACTTAGAATTAACAGAAAACTGTTTTACAATACAATTTGGACAGCAAATTAACACAATTTTCATTTAGGTGGCTATACTAATATTTTACAACACTCTTTCCGAATTCATTAGAATTGCCAGGTGTACACACTAATTCATTTCCTCGTAATATTTCGAGACATTTTAATCTGCTGAATTAATATAGTCAATCTATATAGTAGTATGAGATGAGTAAGATTCCACATTTTCATGACTGCAGGTCAAAATTACCAGCAAATCACCTTATAATTCGCAACATCTGAACTAAGGATCTCAATTTGTTTATTGAGCTCAGCCTGAGGATCAGGAGCTTGTTCTGCTGATGTGTCTGTAGCAGAGTCATTCTCTGAAGCTCTGCTGCTGCTGCCGGGCTCTGCGGAGGACTGATGCTGCTTCATGGATGCTGCTGCACACAGCCATCTGGAAAGTAATGTTCATTACTGTTTCATAGTTGCTATAGTAGAAATATATATGAAATTATCATATGATAAATAAAATGTAATGTATGGTGCAAACTGGTTAACCATCAGAAGCTTGGAGCTCATTCCATACAGATAGATGCCGTCAATGTACCACAAAGCTGAATAACCGAATCAAGTGGTAAATTTAAATTTTGAAAAAATTAGCTTTTTGGGGCCAGTGGACCACGCAGTTCGGGCTTGAACATCTCTATCTGATCAATTGGCATTTGGTAAAGACGGCCACACAGAGCATCTAGCACCGCCGGCGACCGGCATTGAACGAAGTACGGTCATTTATGCTTTTACAGGGTGAGGCAGAGGAACTTGCTTATTTGAACTAGTCTTCCTGAGGTGAGATTTGCCAAGATAATTTTAAGGAGGGGCTTAATCAAAAAGCGCAAACTGTAAATTTTTGTTTATATGATGAGCCGTATCCATTTTTTTTTCTTTGCAGTAGTCATGGAATGGACGAACGTTGAACTTGCTTCTGCGGTTGAGGCATATTTTTCCTGTGTTTAATCAATCATCGCTACACAGCGTGCATTTCGTCGGTACTTCCATGTTGCACCTAGTGGCCGTGTTCCAGGACGACAGTCAATCGTTTCGTGGGTGAAGAACTTCAGGGAATCTGGAGATGTGAAGAAGAAGAAGAAGCCTGGTCTCCTAAGGACTGCAAGATCTCCGCAGAACATCGAAGCGGTGCTGCACTCCATCTTGAGGTCTCCCCGACAATCTGATTGCCAGCATGCATCAGTTCTTGGGTTATCAGCTTGTACTGTTGACAGATCCTTTGTGAGGAATTGAAGTTCCTTCCCTGCAAGATTGTTGTCTCCCAGGAACTGATTCCTAGAAACTTCAATGCTCATGAGGCTGCCTATAGGGCCCTTCTCGACTTCCCTGACATGCTTGTGTTCCTCAGCGATGAGGCGCACTTCCATCTTTCCGGGGCTGTGAACAAGCAGAAAATACGGTATTGGAGCGCTGAAAATCAACAAAAACTTCACCTATGACCTCTTCACTCGCAACGTTTGACTGTTTGGTACGCAATATTCCGAGTTGGAATAATCGGTCCCTGGTTCTTCGAAGAAAATGAAAGGTTATATGAAAATGTTACAGGATTTCTTCCCATCATAAATGAGTGAGATGGGCTTAGATGATGTTTAGTTTTAGCAAGATAGTGCAACGCATACATGAAGACCATCCACGGTATTCTTGAATAAGCCTTTCCTGGGCAAGTGATCTTAGAGGGGCAATCTTCAGTGGCCAGAGAGGTCTTCTGATGTTGCACCTTGCAATTATTTCTTGTGAGGACATCTGAAGTCCGTGGTGTACCATGACAGACCCAACAACCTGAGCCATCTCAAGAATAACATTTGGGAAGCCGTTGTCAACATTCCTATTGAGATGCTGGAATGAGTCGACACCAATTTCCAGACATGACTGACACAATTTAGACAATAACAGACATCATTTGCGTGATATCATATTAAAACTGTTAAATTGTGAAATTTACTTGTTCTTGATTATGCTTTTACAAAATTCATATGTATATATTCAATACTTTCCTTATATGTTCAAAATAAGCAAGTTTCTCTGTCCCACCCTGTAAATGCAAAGCCTTCTGGTATGAGGATACGATTGCACTGCCGTCTGCAGGCATTGAACGTATGTGTGAGTGGTCACTAATACACGCACGTGCATAGCCGACGGTGCATGGATACGTTGGCGTGCAATCGCGCATCGGTACTTAAACTATTTTTGGTGCATGGTTCATTAATTTCTCAATGTTTTTCGAGTACAGCATAGATTGAAAAAATAGCTAAACAAAGTCCCACGCACCCGGTACACCCACCGGCCTATGGCAGCAGGGCAAAAACCCACTTCTAGAAACTTGTGTAGTTGCATAACATTTTTACACATATACAATCAACATGTTGATTTGCATTTCATTCAAGCATTGAGATTGAAAATAATTATAGTCAATATTATTCCAATCTCATGCATGAAACACAAGAGAAATTTAAATATTATGATAACAATAAATTTTAAGTTTTGAATATTTAAAAATATTCTCATGATTAGAGATAACACAAAAATTAAGTTAAGTATAAACACATAACATTAGGTGAATAATTTCTGAAATTGGAAGACTTATGTATATTATTTATATATGTCACAATAAATAATTGAAACTTCAGAATCAGAGTCCTTGTTCACTCAAATGTTAATCTTCTTTGATAAGTGACAGCAGAAATGTTCTAGTTGCACATTCAAGAACATATATTAAATAAATAAAAAATGTTAGGATATTCAAGTATCACACTTCCTTGTTTGATAAATTAATGAAACCATGATGTTTTGAAACAACACTAATCATTAACTCTCATTTTAAATCATAAATCAATATCAATACAGTCCAGAACAAAAAAAAGCATGTTAATTCATGCCTTGTTTGCATCTTGTAAGGGAGACTTTAAGGTTATCTATGAGGACTCTACACCTTGATGTCTGACTCACTCCTGCTTCTGCAGCCAATTTTGCAGCTGAGCAAGAAGGGTTTCTCCTCAACTTCTCCCTCATGTTTTTTGACCATTTGTATGATTTGGACACTTTGTTTCCTTCCCTGACCAGGTTGATTGCATGTTTTGCCAGTTTCCTTTAATTTTTTTACCACATTCCACACACTTTTACAACAAATGTGGAGCTTTTTGCAATGGCTGAATGACTCTCACCCTTCTTAAAAATGGTTACAATTGCATTTCTATTCACTGCCATAAGTAATACTAAAATTAGACACCTCAGAGTCTGAGGCTCAGACTTCTCAATAAAAAATAGATGAATTAATAGATGATATTAAACTAGATAATAAAAGAAAAGTATCTTAGGCCTAGAAACAAATTTATTTTCATTGCATATAGGTATCAGTTGTCAATAGTTATATTTATTAGCCTATATCCATTTGCCGAATAGAGGCAAATCTTGGACAAATCATATGAAAAACAAATATATAAAAATGGGAATAATTGCCCTGAATAATGATTAAATGGGATGCAAGATGACAGGATTCAAATTAACTAGATTATCCATGCTGAGCAACATGGTTTTAGACAAATCTTGAAATAAGTTGCAACATACAATTTGACCCCAGATGTGGAATACATCTACTGTAAAATGGGGTAGCTTTGACCACTTTTTTTCAAAATGATGCAATTTTTTTACTAGATAAGTTAAACTTAAATTGAAACATGCAAAGTACAGGTCTATACTTTAGCTTCACTCATCATAAATTGCTGGCTCCTGCCTCTCATACTTTTGATGTAATTTCAAAAAAAGTGATGGTCTTTGTTACCCCAGCTCTTGGGGTTTCTTTGACCGGGTGGTAAAATCAATTTTATTTTTTGGTAAAATAACTCCAAATAACTCCAGGTTGTGGTGCATTGTAGTAGAACTCTTCTAGTTACATATGCAAAAGACAAATTTTAGGAAAGTGCTATAGTTTGCAAATGGGGGGCGCTGCCCCCCAATGGGCGAAATGTGACCACCTAATGGCAGCCGTGATGGGGTAACATTGACCGGTTAGGAAATTAAGCTAAAATTACCATATATAAGACTCTGTAGAGTCTGAAACATAAAGAAAAAACATTAATAGGTGTATCAAGCATAAAATCTGTTATATAGGTACCTATGGTAATTTTAACTTAATTTCCAAACCGGTCAATGTTACCCCGTCATGGCTGCCATTAGGTGGTCAAAGTTCCCCCATTGGTGGGCGGCGCCCCCATCTGCAAACTATGACACTTTCCTAAAATTTGTCGAGTTATTTTACCAAAAACAGGCTTTAAATAATAGCAGGCTTTAAATAATAGCTCTTTTTTGTGGGTCACATTATTAATTTTTTAACCTATTAGATATGCAAACTTTTCAAATCTTTCTATTGGGCCTCAGTATTAGGCCTCAAAGGCCTCAGTATTAGGCCTTTGATGGCCATTGACAAAATTTTTCTATGTCAAATTGTTTTTGAGTTTTGGGGGTTTTTGTTAAAAAACAAAAAGTGGTCAAAGTTACCCTGCTGGTAAAAGTAACCCCATTTTACGGTACTCTCATTGTTGCAGCTTGCAAATACTGTCAATCCACATGTCACCACTTACCAGATACTGCACTTAAGTTGCTGCTTGTTGCTAAAAACCTTTTACTCTATAATACTTGTCAGAACTAATATTGGTAGACTTTGATAACCACATGATGACTACAAAGCTGTTTGGATTGCACCAGAAACATATGATTCAGTTTTCTTATAACATAGAATGTATCTATTCAAGGCTGGCAAGTGGCAACTTTAGTCCTGCTTATTGGCATTGGCATTGATAGTAGAGCTTTCCTGCCATTTTTGAAGCCCCAAATTTTCTGTTAGATATAGTATCTCAATCTAATTTTTACCAAAAACTTGCATACAGGCTGCAATATTCATTTTATGGCTTATTCAGCCATAAAATGTTATCAATTAATAGGAAATTTCTAATCTTGTTTATGACTATTTTGGACAAACAACTTCCAATGGAGGTTGGAAAAATATCCAAAAATATTACGATTTTAGATGACAGAATTTGGGATAAGAGGATTCTAAGATTGCAAGAATAATAATTTCCTAGTAATGAGAGATTTAACCAGCAAGTGGTAAATTATTTGCACAATTGATAAACAGAATTTTATTATTTGTAATTCTGAATATAAAATATAGGTAAAAAGATCAAAGCTACAATTTGTACAGTTTGCATGCATGGGAGCGCAGCCATGGGTAACAAAATTGACTCGTAAACAAGCCCTGGGCCTAATGCCAACCATCAGCATGCAATATCTACACATAGCCTCAGATCAATGAGCTGTAGGTAACTCTGGCTAACGGTAAATCCGCTTTGCACAACACAGCCACAGCTCCACAGTGCCACAGTGCAACTGGCCGGAGCGCAACAGGCGTTGCAGGTTAGGTTACATTAGGAGTAGCTGTTACGATAGGGCCTGTTGCGCCCTGGCCAGTTGTGCTCCGGCTTGTGACTGAACAACGCTGTTGTGGTGGGTGCTGTGTCAAAAGCCATGAAGATGCCTGGCTGCGTTATGCTCGGCCAGTTCGGGAAGGTATATGAATCGCACTGTAGACTTGGGCTATGCTGACCTCCAGCTATCCATCCTGCTTGCATTACCAAGATGAAGCTGTGTTGACCTTGCTAAAAAGTTCAAGTTTTATTCAAAATTGAAAAATCTGGCAGAAGCAACCTGTGAATTAGAAAAAAATGACTGTCAATCTGTCATTATTGACAATGTTACTAATTCTGATTTCAAGTTTTGAAAATAACCACTTATCCAAGCATGGAAAACATTCCCCTTTAGGGCTGCGACTAGAGCTTTCTTGGCTCCTGCCATTTCCTGAACCCTGAGATTCCTGCCAGATGAATTGCCTCCTACATAATTGTTAACAAAAGGGCACAATCGGGCCGCAAGTTTCCAAATGTATAAAAAATTTGTCGCGCCAGAGCCACGAGATTTCAGAAACAAGTGGGAAAATTTAAATCCTGCACTGACCTAATTGTTTAATCTCAAGTTTTCTTGAGAATTGTACTCAATTAAAATTTAAAACAATATTTGATTTAATTAGCTAATTAAATATTTTTTATTTGAGGCAACAAAATAGGTGGTAGGGCAAATCAATGTAAAGGGCATTGACAATTCAACATTTATTAATTGATTCACAATTCACATCAATATATGACAATATCGCATACATATATTCTGGAATGGAAAATTGTGAAGCCCATATGATGAATGAGACAAAAATAGTAAATTTTATACATTTTTATGGTTCTTGCCTTATTTATTAAAAAAATCCATATTTTAGCCTCAAAAACCTTTCTTTTTTATTTTTCAAAATGGATAATAGTTTTCATCCTAGGTACAATTTTTAGAAAATTATGCCTAAAATTCCTGCCTCAGGAGTCAGGCTGTCTGTAATATTTTGGCTTCAAATATGACAAGACCTGAAATGACACCTGTTACCTGTTTAAGAATGAATCTTATCTCAAAAACTAAAGATAAATGATGATCAACCCAGCATGTGAATTTGTGAAAAAAAAAATAAGAAGCTTCAATGCTGCCGCATCCTGAACAGTTTTGCTTACTTTTGATGGGACACCCCAGCAATATTACGGCACAGTGAAGGTGTTACTCTTGAAAGACATCCAGATAGGGAATATATCGAAGAAACGCCAGCCATTTTATAGGACTATATGAGTTTTACGAAGTCTGATGAAAAAACAACACAATCGTCGTACAGCAGAATTACGTCAGCGTTTTGTTTGAGCGATCTGGAAAGACGATTTTTCAATTTCAGCGGAAGCGAAAAATTGGGTAAATTTGTCCGAGACGTCAATCAGAGCCATAATATTATAAAGTACTTATTTTATCATACATCGAATATTCTTTTTCATTATAATTTATTAATATGAATAGAGAGTACCCAAAGAGGAATTTTTATGTTCAAAGCAACGATTGTTGTGTTAATATTGTACAAAATTTTGTGATAAAGAATCAAAATACTGGTATTTCAGCGTCGTTATGACCGAGAAACCATTGTTTCGTGGCATTTAGATTAAAAGAAACATGACAAATTTCCTCACTGTTATAATAATGGAAATGAAATATTTAAAGAAAATTGCAAACAAATGAAAAATAGGAAGGAAAAAAATCACTTGAATTGCTTTATGAATTTATTTCACGAACAATGAGTTATTAGGGTTATGTTATAATTTGCGTATCAATATATTTTTACGTCTCGGATAAATTTGCGGCCGGACTTGCAGCTGGTCTCCAAAATTCAGTGAACAAAGAATATCTCCCAAAGTAAAGAACGTAGCCCAATGAAACTTGGTACATGTGTTCATTAGGACCTAACGGTGATGTTTAGCTCGTGAAAATTTTTGGAATTTCTCCTTCATTCGTGAGTTACATATATGGCGATACCGTGCCCAAATTCGCAGTGAACAAGACATTTCTTCTAAACAACGGTACAGATTTGAACGAAACTTTGAATATACATAACATCAGAGGTGGGCAGTAGCGCGCTACATGTAGCGGCCGCTACATTTTCAGTAGCGGTAACGGTAGCGGCTCTACATTTAAGGCAATGTAGCGGTAGCTGTAGCGCCCGCTACATATTTAAGTAGCGATACGAGGTTTTGCCGCTACAGCGCTACCGCTACATTTATAGATAAAGCCTTTAGATTTTACTTAAAGGGACCGGCTACCCTCCAACAAAACTTTTTTGTTTACAGACGGATCGTTTTGAAACTTGGTACACATATGTAAAACAGAAATCTAAGACCTTTTCGTTCATGTAAATTTAAAAAAAAATAAAAGAAAACGTGGAATGAATAGAAACGGCAAATAAGGGGTACTCTAAAAAAGTTTATAACTTTTGCAAATCACATGCTACAATGTCGAGACACATATCATTCGATTTGTAACAACAATATCTAGCGACTGTAGAGCCCCGATTTTTGATTTTCCTCATCGTTTTTTTCGCGTTCTTCCCATTTTTTCACATTTTTACCTTGCCACCTTCCTCCCTCTCCCGTATATAGGTCAAACCATGCACATGTTAAAAAAAGACTTCTAGAGTCGCTAGGTATTGTTTTTACAAATCGAATGGTATGTCTCTCATTGCCGTAGCTTGAAAACTGTTGGAGTTATAATTTTTTTTAAGATGGCGTTTTTTTGGATTTTTAAATTGTTCAGGGGAGCCAAATAAAGTAAAATTCATTGAAAACAGAAGAATATGCCCAAAAAGTCTTGATATTGTAGCCCAAGCTTTCCCATTGCCAAAAATATGAATTCAAGGTACCAGCACGCGTCTTTAGACCTATTACGTTCAATTTAACGTGAATAATAGGCTATAAATGGGACTTTTTATATTTAAAAATATATATATATATATAATATTCATTTTACATAACTTTACAACTGCATTACGCAAAAACTATTGCATGAACATCCATGGTAGTAGCTTTGTTAAACGCGTCTTGTTTGTAGCTTTCAAACGAGTGCAATAATGACATATAAATACCATTTATTTGTAAATAATGATATAAAATGATCATTTTTTAAAAGTTCAAGACTGCATTACACAAAAAAGTATTGCATGTACATCTATGGTAGTAGCTTTGTTGAACGCACCGCATTCGTAGCTTTCAAACGAGTGCAAACACTTTGTAATTAACGAGAGTAATGATCTATATATACAGATTTAATTCAAATAAATCGTTGTACATATTGTTAAAAAATGTTCACATATATATTTTTAAAATTGTCTTACGCAAAAATTATAGCACGCACAGACATGCGGTAAACTGCGTTAGACGCGCCTTTTCAGTAGCTACAAAATGAGTCAAGAAAACGGTAAAGCCAAAATTTCCGATTTTTAGGGTAGCCGGTCCCCTTAATAGTATTAAATATTATTTAAAAACCAGCATGATACATGCATAATATAAATTACAGAATAAAACTGTACGAAAGATTTCGGTGTAATGTTGTCAACCTCAGCCTGTTACTAGTGTCAACATGTTAGTTGTTACTTGTTAAGTTGTTACCAGTTACCACTTATAGGTTTTTTCATCTTTCAGTTTGCTTGCAGTTATTTTAACAGTTATTTTTATGTTATTAGAAATTCTACTGATTCATGTCCCATTTAATTGAAATTATGTTCTGTTTTACTGTAACGGAGACCTTAGAGATTAAGTTAGATTAAGTATCGATTTCGAGAGAAATTTTGAGGCATTAAAGGCTGAACTTTTGACTGGCTTATGTGATACCGAGGTGACTCAAATAGTGTTCTAGGCTACTGTATTGCACGCAGTGACCAGAGTGTAATTTCACTTCCTATCATCTTTTTGAATTAATGCATGCTATGGGCCCTCTATCAAGTTAATGCATGCCACGTTACTATTTGGTTTGACCCAACTTTAAGACGTCTCTGACGCATTAATTAAACTTGGCAGTATTGCCGGCTTTCGAGCCTATTAACTTTACGCCCTGTGGCGCTCGAACCTTATTAACTGAGTCACGTTGCGACCAGTCATTTATTAATATACTAACCTTTGCACTCAATTGCACTTTCAAAACACCTACCTCTAAACGGCTTTCAAGCCACTTCTAAATTTACCCCAGCGGTAATAAATTAGAAGGTCAGTCTCGAAATATTTAATCTTACTTTGAATAAATTGATAATCTTGATCCTCATAATGATAAATTGCATACGATACAATAGCACTTGCTGATCAATCTAATCTTGGTTTGTAACTGTCAATTTACAGTATAACCTCCGGTGTATTCTCGTACGTCGCATCTCTTTTGCCGTGTGCTTCATGCCTCCAGTGCAGCCAGCGCGACATTATTTCTGCTGTACGCGTTATTTCATTTGAGGTTAGATTGGGAATATGCGTTCACTGTCAAATTTTGTACCGCTGAATTGGAATTTCTGAGCATAATTGATCAAATCGTTTCTCAAGCTTTGGCATTCATTAAGCAAGGTTTCTTTTTCTAATTTCAGTTTCCTCAACTGCATCCACTGCAGTTCCGTTTTCTACTTCTCTGGATCCGAAGCTTATCCTTTGGAGTTTCAATAAAATTGTTAGCAGTTATGTTTTTATAAATTCCTTACAATGTTTCACCTTCCCTACATGGATGTCTACTTCAATCTACCAATCTCAAAAATAATCCACATGTATATACAAAAAAGACTGATTTTTTTATGTATATGTGGATAATTTCTTAGATTGGTAGATTAAAGTTCACATCCATGTAGGAAAGGTAAAATATAAAAATAACTGTAACTTTTATTTACTGTATCTAACCCTGGGGTGATCCATACTAGTTCAGTTAGGTTAATTGCAATAAAGATGCATTGATATGTTTCAAAAATGTTTTATTATCATTAAATGTTAATGAGTAAATCCCAATAGCAGAACAATAAATATTTAGAGATTTCCAATAATTGTGGCCATTGTAGCGGCTAATGTAGCGCGCTACATTTTACTGTAGCGGTAGCGGTAGCGCCCGTTACAATCTAGTGGGTGTAGCGGTAGCGCCCGCTACATTTAGAGCATGTAGCGGTAGCGCCGCTACATTTCCAAGTAGCGCTGCCCAGCTCTGTCTAAACTCAAGGTTCGGCCGCACGACAGCAACAAACAACTGCTTCATCGCTTCTGCATCTAGGAACTCGAAAGAGCGTCTGAACAGTCCAAGTTGTTTATTGGCTTTATTAAGTTGACCTTCAATATGCTTAGAAAATTTCAACTCATTATCAATATTAACTCCTAAATCTTTTTCCATTGTCGACTTCGACATCATCACTCTGTCATTGCAACCGTGTCTTCCCATACTGTTATCTTGCTGTTCGTTATTCTTGTCAAAGTGGATTACTTTACATTTGTCAGTATTAAGGGTAGCGTCTAGGGACAACTTTATCTCGGTTATTTACAGACGGATCGATTCGAAATTTGGTACACGTATGTAAAACGGAATTCACCGATTTTTTTATTGTGTGAATTTTTCGAGAAAAAAATGAAAGAAAACGTGAAATTCTTAGAAAACGGCCAAAAAGGGAGTACTTTAGAAATCCTATCTCCTAGGATTTTCAAGCTGCAACATCGAGACACATATCATTCGATGCGTAAAGACCATATCTAAAAACGTCACTTGGCGGTTTTTTTGATTTCTCATTTTAGTGGGTGTGGGAGCATTTTTTCCGATATTTTTCGCAATTTTTCGATTTTACCCTCGCCCTCCCCCACTTTTTGCAAATAAAATCCGAACTATAACGAAATTGGAAAAACGACCATGTGACGTTTGTAGATCTTTCCTTTCCAAATTGAATGGTATATGTCTCATTGATGTATCTTCAAAACTGTTGGAGGACATAGGATTGCCGTGAGAGAGGTTTTCAGCATGCCGCGTGCTTTCTGTGAGGTTACTGAGCTCTAGCCGAATGAAGAGCATATTTATAGTTAATTTACCCCTTTGGAATTACTGAAGGCCCCCACCACCTTCCCCCTTACGGGATCTGTCGTGAACGCATAAATCAACGTACAGAGATGGTTCTAGTACCGTTCGATGAAGCATCGAACGGTACGGTACATCAAAAAGTATGCTTTAAAATGATTATAAGAACTAGAGAATGTCATAATTGACCACTTTACATCAGACGATCCCCTTTATGGTGCCCGGCCGGGTAATTTCCGCCTAAACTTTACTGAAGGGGCCCGGACACCTCCCCTTCTTACGGGATCTGTTGCGAATGCATAAATCAACGTACAGAGATGGTTCAAGTAC